TGCAGTTCAGCGCCTTAACCACTTGAGCCACCGCAGCTCCTGATGTTCAGCTATATCACTTTAAATGTTTGTCTCCATTTTAATTCTGTTCGCTTAGAGTTGGCAGCATGATGCCAGAGAGAGAGAGAGAGAGCTTTCAGCTGACTTGCATGAGAGGTTGGGGATAAAGCTAGGAGAAGCAAGGGGGGGGCTGCATTTCTTTAAAAACTCCTTCTGCACGCTTCGACTGATCTTTAAGAGGATCTGGATTTTGAGAGAGGATCCTGTTTTCTATGGGGGATGATGTCAGAGAAGGGAACAGGTTAAGCCTGCTTAGGTAACAGAAATAAAAGGGCACAGTTTGTAAGATGGTAATTAAAAAGATCTCTGAGTGGTCAAACAGGAAAATGGAGTGAATGGGTGCCAATAATGTGAGATTTTAGTCTGGTAAAACTCTGAAACTTGGCAAAGTTTTTGAGCCTTTTTATCACATGATAACTTGTGTAAAACTTAGAGTTTATCACTAGAAAGGAAGTTGGGATGGAATTAGCTGATCTAATTAAGGGGTCGGAGCACCTTTCCTATGAACAAAGGCTGGAACTTTCAGTTTAGAAAAAAAGATAGCTGGTAGCGGACATGTTAGAAGTTTATGTAATTATGCATGGGGTAAAGAAAGTGGATAGAGAGAACTTTTTTTTCTCTTTCCTCTCACTTGGGGACACCTAATGAGGTTGTTGGGCAGTACATTCAGGACAGGGAAAAGGAAATACGTCTTTACTCAATGTGTATTTGAATGGTGTGATTCACTGCTCATGACCAGTGTTCCTTCTAAGCTGAGTTAGTGTGAGCTAGCTCACAGTTTTTTAGCCACTGGCTCACAGATTTTTCTCTTAGCTCAGGAAGGATGGCTCCAGAGCAAACTAATTTATGCAGTAGCCGAATGGCTTGCTCACAACTTTAATGCCAGTAGCTCACAAAGTAGAATATTTGCTCACAAGACTCCATAGCTTAGAGGGAACATTGCTCATGACCATAAGTATAAGTGGCTTTAAAAGGAGCTGAAACTGATTCGTAGAGGAGGGGTCCATCAGTGGCTACTAGGCATGGTGGCTAAAGGGAACCTCTGTATACAGAGACTGCAAACCTCTGAATTACTAGGGCTAGGAGGCAATATGGGTGTGTGTGTGTGTGTGTTAGCCTCTCTGTCCTGTTTATTGGCCCTGCAGGGCAACTGGTTGGTTGCTGTGTGAAACAGGTGGCTAGATTAGATGTCCCACTGGTCTGATTCTTATGCAGTATTTTTAAATTTACCACTACATTTATGTGAGTGGTCTCCCACCCCACACTCCCACCAATAAAAGACTGTGTGTTCCTGGTCCGTGTAACATTTATAGTGTTAACTTGCATGATTATGGAAAATACACCTTCAGACTCATGACAGGGGCAAAATACTGTTTAAATGCCTCAAGGCCTTACAGTCAGACACAGGAATACATACATGAACCAGATTGTAACAGGGTGCTCTTGTACACCCGCTGAGCTACTGTTATGAACAGAAGGTAGGGAAAATGAATGCCGCATGGCATGCTTTGTGCTGGTAAAGTCCTGTTTGCTTTGGAAACCTGGACACTTGATTTTTATGAGTCTATCTAGTCTCCTCACCTTTCTTTATTTGCCCTCCTTAGCCTCTCTTCCTTCCTCCCCGTCCTTCCAAGACTTTGCATTCAACTTCCAGGCCAGCAAACAGTAGTCCTATGACTAGTTGGGAGAGCTCTGTGCTGAATCTGTGTGCAGTTGTGACCATGTCTGTCTTGTCACCATAACCAACTCCAACAGGCTTTGAAGCTTCTGGCATGGTTTAGGGATTGGCCAGGGATGTTGGGGCACTCTCCTCTAACGTATTTCATACTTTTTGTCTTTGTGGGAGAATTGTCTAACAAAGAAGACACATTTTAAAAGCTGATGTACAGGTGGCTGAAAAGTTTATTCCTGTTTTCATCTATAATTAATCTGTGTTCCATGTGAGAGTACATAAGGTGGGAGGCCCTGATTAAGCTTTAATTTGTCCGACTTTGCCACTGTGAAGTTGTTTCACTGTGTCACGTATGTGCTTCATCTCTTGTTTTATGGTGCTTTTATTATGGGGTGACAAACTTTCTAGTTAGTGCTACTTCTGAGGCCTTAGGTTTATCCCGGTACAGCCCCACATTGGAAACTGTGTGTGTGTGGGACAGCTGTGGAAACTGCTATAACTCTCTGAGGGTGATTCAGGTGGGTAGCCATGTTGGTCTGAAGCAACAGAACAAAGTTTGAGTCCAGCGGCACCTTTAAGACCAGCAAAGTTTAGTTCTGGGTATAAGTTTTCATGTGCATGCACACTTATAACCAGGGGTGATTTCATAGAAAAAGAGGTGCATGAGCTCATTAGCATAACTCATTAGCATAACATTTGCATATGCCACACCCCCTGACATCACTGGAACCCACCATTCAGGCTCCACTGGACTGTTTTGGATTACTAGCTATTGGGGGGGGGGTATTTCATAGAAAAAGAGGTGCATGAGCTCATTAGCATAACTCATTAGCATAACATTTGCATATGCCACACCCCCTGACATCACTGGAACCCACCATTCAGGCTCCACTGGACTGTTTTGGATTACTAGCTATTGGGGGGG